GTCCTGTGACAATGCTTATTCTGTAGGATACAGAATACGGGGTTAGAGGGCTTAACATGAGATAGTTCGAGGCGCCAAATGAAGGACATGGGATCGTAGACAAGTGCGCATACTAAAGCGCTGTGCGAGTCTTTTTAATTCTTCATCATACAGTACAACAAGAACCAACGCTCGTTCGTCTCAATTTCTCTTCGCCCTCCTCCAGCAAGAACAATGGGTGCCTAACAAAAATAGAGAAATCACCCGACATAGATGCAGCAGATATGACAGGCTTAACACGAAAATATGCCGCCATATCCTAAAATTTGGCCGCCACAAATGCATTAATAAGCAAACTCTGGTCGATCCTAATAGTCTCATTTCAAGTCTTTGATCACACTATAGGACAGTTAGTGCGGGACACTTTGGAGCTGAATCTTTCCAGATCCGCTTGAAGTTCGCGAATAGTAGACTTGAAGTTCGCCATTTCCCTTCCTACTCCCTCCTGCGCAAGCGCGACAATGATTGACGGAGACGACGGCGTGATCCTGCTTCTCTACGAGGCGTACAAGGCGTACACCGAGCGCGTGCGCGACGCCCGCCGCGACGTCCATCAACTCCTGCTGGAGGAGGAGTGGCGCGTCGCCATGCGATCCCGCCACTACCTCACCACGCAGTGTCTCGACGCGCCGTGTGCATCAGGCTGGATGACGCTGTACGAGTACGGCACTGACATCAACTTCTTGAACGCTACGAGTCTGACGCGGTGAGTTCTTTGAAAGGCCTGTATTACATCTCTATTCTAACACTACTGCTACGAGTACAGTAGCGTTTGATCAGTTGCTCTGTAGATTCTCCTGCTTCTACAACATGCCGCCGCCGTCGTCAAGAGGACGCCCACCCAAGCTGCGCTACTTACAAAAAGTGCTGGGTCTCGTTCTTACCTTCTACGTCGGGTCATTGGAACAGAGCTCCCTATGCATCACCTTTGGGGTCCCGCCCAACACGCTCTCCAGGACGCTGCGCAAAGCCGAAGAGGCGCTAGCGCGGGCGCTGAACGGCTACGCTCCTGCGCGTATCTCGTGGCCCTCGCCCTCGTGCCAGGTAGAATTGGCGCGGATGGTCAACAAGCGTGAGCCTTTGCTCACCCACACGTTCGGGTTTATAAATGGTAAAAACCTTCGTGTACGTATGCATGCTCTTGAACTTGCCTTTTACTTTGTATAATCATTAACTCTAAATGCTTTTGCAATGTGTTGTACAGGTGCAAGAGCCTTCTAACGCAGACCTTCAGAACGCCATGTACAATGGCTGGCTGCACTCGGTCTTCGTGACCGGCACGATGTGCGTTGCAGCCGATGGCTGCATTATCTGATCTCGCCACAACTGCCCAGGGTATTGGAACGACTCGGACAAGTCCTTGGAGTTCCGCGGCAAGCTGACGGACCTCCAGTACTGCCCCGATGGTCGTATGAGCGTAGTGTCCGATTCCGCCTTCCCGTGCTCCACGGCCGTGACGGGGCGAATCCTCACCCCGTTGAAGGACGGAGATATCGAGAAAATTGAGCCTTCACTGCGCGCCACCGCACGCACCCTACACAATGCTATCACTTCCATCCGCCAGGCTGCAGAATGGGGAATGGGTTGCGTGCAAAAGGTCTACAGCAGACTCAACTTGCCGCTGCCCTACGACCCGAACCTACGAGGCATGCGCATCGGCAACCTATTCCGGCTTGCGAACTACAGAGTTCGCACAGTCGGGATTTCAGAGATCAAGACCACGTTGTCGGGCGCGATGGAGATGCCCGAGCAACTAGCGCTGTAGTGGTGTGGATGAAGTGTTTTGCATCTCCGTCCGTAGCTTTCACGTACTAGTACAACGTAATAGCACCTTCGTTCGTGCAGCATGCACTTTAATAGCTACAATCGAATCCATGCTGCCAATTCTCGCAACAAAAGTTAAGTACCCTGTTGCTTGCGACTTAGGGCTGTATTGAAGATGATACGCTACTAAATGCACTTCCTTCCTCTTTCGATCTCCTTGCTGCCTCCGTCATGCTAGAGCATTTGCGGCTCAGTCTTTCTTCGTTAGAGCGCCCAGAATGAGCAACAGTTCTTGAGTGCGAGCCCGAGCATCTTTCTTGTCACGACGGGCGCGCTCCTCTGCCTCTTGTTTCTCCTGACGGCGCTGCTCCCCCGTCTCCAGTCTCTCGTGACGGCTACGCTCCTCTGCTTCCGCCTTGTCGGCAAGGCAGCGGGCTTCGCGAGCAGCAAGCTCGTCGCGGCGACGCTGCTCTTCTTCAGCGCGGCGGAGCTCAGCCTTGCGCTCGCTCTCATCGCGCATTAGCAGCATCATCTCAAACATGGAGCCACCAATGTTGCTGGCGCTGCTCTACAAGTCGGTCAGACGCTTCTTGAGCTCGGCGGTCGCCCTGGTAGCCTCCACGCGCTTCGCTTTGGCGAAGCTAGCCTCCGAGGGCTCCTCGTCGTCCTCGAGGGCCCGCTTGCGCCCCAAGGTGTCACGAAAGTCAGCCAAGTCGATACCTCCGAGTCGGTTCGAGGAAGTCGCGTAGCCTTTCGGCTTGGACTCCTTCTTGCTTGGCGCGCGCCCTTTAGCGCCTTGCTGCGAACCAGACTTAGCCTTAGCAGCGCTGGCTGCTGTCGTAGATGCGCCAGCGGCAGCCGCTGCTGCAGCAGCAGCAGTGGGCCCTTGCCCAACATTCTTTGCCGAGCTAGAGCGCAACTTGCGCTGCATCGACTTCGCCGACGGCGGAAGAGGGCGCGGCGTCGCGAATGCCTCTAGCCCCTCGCAGACGCCGGCTGCGTCGAGCAGCTCCGACAGGTCCGCGTTGCCCACGCTGTCACCGACCGACGTCGGCGTCTCGCCGGAGTGCATCGAGTCGTTAGTGGTGGTGCTCCCGCCTGAGTCAGCGTCGGCGTCTTCGCGCGTGATGTCCCCGAGCCCCTCCTCGCCCTCGAAGTCGAACGAGAAGTCCTGATCATACTCCTCATCTACTTGGTCGACGTCGGCACCGTCGTCCATGTCGACGACGCTGGCCTTGTCGTCGATAGCTTGTTTAAGCTGGTTCGCCAGCTGCACATGTGGCCGCATGTCGGCCACGCCCGTAGGTTTGCGCGCACTGTAGAGCACCTTGAACTTTCGACGGAGGCTCGTGGTCGCGCTCGGCGACACCACGACATCGGTTCGCGTTGTAGGAGTTTGTGAGTCGCTCCCATTCGTCCTTGCCAAGCGGGAGGTAGTGTTTGACGAGCGCCAGGAGGCGACGCACTTCGGACAGCTTGTTGTTAGTGCTTCTACTCAACTTCGCCATCTATAACCAAAGCAAATGCACGAGGTTGTGAGTGTCAAACAGTAACATGTAGGTGCCAAGGTGACGCGACGGCAGCTTTCATGAGGAGAGCAGCGTACCGGAAACGGGGTAGGAGGAGGTGAGCGGGGTCGAGTGGGGGCGTGGACTTGAGCGAGGCTTGGGAAAACCAATAATGAGAGCCACAGGAGCTTGGTTTCCTCTCCGTCGCCGAAGGAGGCTCCTGCAAGGCAAACACAGGACTGCTACTTGAAGTTGGCGCGTACAGCTACTCGCGGGCCTAGTTGGCGCGCAAACTAAGCGAGCTCGTGGTTGATACAAAGATTAACATCGAGCCACATAGCAGCTCACAGCGTTCATTTTGGCGCCAAGTTCACGTCGATCTCTGCTGGCACGTCAACAGCAAAGGCAAGGTACAAGGGATAGATGCACCTCAACGCAGTTAGATTCAACAGCGAACCAGACTTGAATACAATGTCCTTACCAATTGCTGCAAATCTCCCACTACTTCTTCTTGACTTCAACCAGACCTCGACCTTGAGAGCGCCGCCTACGGGTCTTGCTAGTGTTGGATGTCGCCGTGGCGGCAATTCGCGTGGCCACAGCGGCACACGACCCAAAGATCTGGTCGGTAGTCCACGGTTATCTCGTCGATGGCGTGCGCGGTGGCCACAACCACTGTGGTCTGCCGCCCATTCGCAACTTCCAAGAAGTGCACCACAGGCGCGCACGAGTGGTTGACGAAGCGCATTAGTCCACCCATCTGCTGCGCGTTGACGGCTACTCGGACGGGGTGGCTTGGTGTCTCGGGCCTCTGCGTCATGACCAGCCGATAGCCTTCATTCCGCGGACGAGCAGCGTGAGAGGCGCTCACATGCTCAATCTCTCCCAGGTATTTGCCCAAAACCACGCCAGCAGCGATGAACTGCTGCGCCACCACGGCCAATTGTCTGGTCACCACGTTCCTCGCCAAGGCAACCTTGGTCGACTCGACCAAACCATTCCCACAGTTGCCGCTGTAGGGGCAACAGTTCACGTTGCAATATAGCTGCATGAGGGAGTTGCGGCAGCGTCCAACTCGACACGGGTCCTCGCAGTCGCACCAGCCGAAGTGCGGGACCGCAGGGAAGATGACCCCCGTGGGATTAAATTGCGTGCGGAGGTGGGCTACGTAGAACGGCCAGCGGGCGGGAACGAAGCGGCCTTGGTAGTGAACACCACGAGTGCGAGCTGGGCGCGCTGGAACCAGAGACGCCGACCCACGGGCTGCGCGCATGACACCATTCGGCGCCACCGTCGGCGATGTCGCTTCATGACGCCGCTCGCGACGTTCATACGGTCCAGCAGCCGCTCGTCGCTCGCTGCGCGAGCTATGGCGCTCACGGAGTGGCCGTCGGTCTGGCGGCGGAGACGATCGTGGGTGTGGGGATGGCGGACCTTCCAGCAGAAGCGGCGACGACGTTGTCGGGTTATGCGGATTCCTCGTGGGCGGCGGGGTTGCAGGCGTGGCGGGATCCGTCTCGGGCGCCGTTGCCGCCGTGACGCCAGCCGTCGTCGGCACAGGATCAGTCGTGAGCGGCGTGGTCACCGTGGCGCCAGCCGTCGAAGCCTTCGTCGGGGGATTGGACACCTCCTTCGGGGCGCGGAGCCCGTGCTGCGGCGACATCCACAGCACCGTCGTGGTCCCCGTGAAGCTGGTGCTCCCGGGGGAGGAAGACTTCGCGCTCTCGGCTGGCGCTTGGGTGCCGCCTCGCTGCACATTCGGCGGCACGTTCTCGTCTTCACTCGACGAGTCCAGGATGCATCGTGCGGTCCAGTGCACGGCGGAGTGTACGAGGCGAGCCATGATCGCTGCGAGTATTAGTAGAACATGTTAGCATAGTTTCGACCAAGCCGCTAGTCGTATCAGGCAACTTACCCGGTGTTTTTTTTATGCTGACTGCAGCGCTTCCAGGCGCTTGTCACTTGGCCGTGATTTTTCGAAAGTGAGAGGTTGAAGCTGGAGGCGCACAAGATGAGTTATGTCGCCGATATGCCTGCAGAGTGATGGTCAACATAATCCATACAAATTTCAACATTATTTTTTATGATGGCTACACGACATAAGTCTAGTGTTAGGGCTGTTTATTGAGACCATTTTTACGTCTCGCTCCGTTTAAGACCTGTCATTTCTGCTGCATCTATGTCGGGTGATTTCTCTATTTTTGGTATGCTCCGTTTAAGACCTGTCATATCTGCTGCATCTATGTCGGGTGAACTCTCTATTTTTGGTAGGGACCCAATCCTGCAAAAGCAACCGCTCAACGAATAAAAGGGATGCCGCATTTGGTACTTTTATTTCTACGTACTCGAAATGCTTTGCGCTCTGGTGAAGGCGAACAATGTATCAAGTCACCGCAGGCTACAACAGTGGAGACTGCATTGAGCACACCCTACGCTGCATTCGCGCGTCCAAACGGCAACTGCAGGGAAGTACCTGTGTCACCGACCTCTTAGGAAAGTATACTGCTACAATTTGCTCAAACAGACAGTCTACACGCTGTTGAAGTAACCTCTTTAACCGATGGCACAGTGTTCCCTAAAA